TCACTGTTTGTTAAAATGGTTTATAAACACTGAAGCTAACTACCTCTTTAGGGTTTTCACATCTTTTCTTTGAAGTACCACAAATATAAAATATCATCACAACATCAATAAAAGTCTGTATGCCTTTTCTTCTGTTAATCTGCCTCTGTCAATGTAATTTGCAAACCCCACTCATCAACCTAAGGATGTGGGGGGAAAAGATTCTCCCCCTACACTAGAATAGGCAGAGAAGGGAGAAACCTATGAGAGGTAATTAGGAGAAGTAATTAACACGATTAAGAAGGAAAATAAAAGGACTGAAAATCCCCAACCCACAAGGGGTGAGGTAAAGCGCTGGGTGTACATGCACATGATGCACGGTGTGAGTGACGACGCAGACGCCAGAGGCCTGGAAGATTCGCGCCCACTGCAGAAGGGGCAGCCTTCTCTACCAAGGCGATCACGGCCTTGATGGACACGAGGCCTTCAGTGCTACCACGCTGCCTGATTTATTTTTTCAAGAAAACCCCAAAATATCTCTAAACTTTTAAATGATGACTCCAAATTCTTTAAATTATTAGTTCAGCCAAATAAAACACAACTCTCAGCCTGACATGGATGCTAGTTTATCACCTTTGGGACAGAGTCTAATAAACTCTTTCTACATCCAGATTAGACCAGTGTCTGTCTGGTTCACCATGTCCCTGAGTCACAGGTTGGCAGAACGTGGCAACCAGGCTTAAGCTGCACTGGGAAAACAACAGAAATCAAGTTTAGAGCTTTCATTCTGGAAAGACTCCTTTATATCTATATCTATTATCGATATCTATATCTCTTGCTCAATTTAAACATAGGCAAGATATGCTCTCAAACTTCATTAACAGTCTCTAAAAATTGGCCAGGTTCAGAAAATATACTAAAAGAGACCTGCTCAGATAGTTCAGTTGGTTAAAGTGTCGTCCTGATACACCAGGGTTGCAGGTTCGATCGCCAGTCAGGGCACACACAAGAATCAACCAATGAATGCATAAATAACTGTAACAACAAATCGATGTTTCTCTCTCTCTCCCCCTTCCTCTCTAAAAAAATCATTAAATAAAAATTAAAAAAATAAAATATACTAACATAGCCAGAGGCATGATTTCAAAGAGCATTATTTAATAATATAAGCATATTTTAGATCCTACAAGATTAATTCTACATGTTAGTATTTAAAGGGAAAAAGTACTGTTTTCACTATGCAAGATGAAGAGGACTTCATTTAGCAGCATATACAAACAAGCTCTCATTTCATAAGCAACATGAACAAACCTATGATCTTCCTCATTTTCTCCTTGTTGGAGGGCCATGCTAAATGCAAATTCATTAAAGGCAGAAAATGCTGCTATTTTTCAGACTCTTTTATTTGAGAAAGAAAAGTTACTTATTTTAGGTGCCTGTTTAATTGTCTTAGAAACCACTTTGTGACAAACAACAAACCTTACGTTCGTTTATACCTACTACTTCACTGCTGTTATAAAAATTTCCCTAATAGACACTTCTCCAAAGAGGACATACACGTGGCCAATAGACATATGAAAAGATGTTCAATGCTACTAATCATCAGAGAAATGCAAATTAAAACCACAGTGAGATATCACCTCATGCCTGTCAGAATGACTATCATCAAATAAACCAACAAACAACAAGTGCTGGCGAGGGTGTGGGGAAAAGGGAACCCCACGCACTGTCGGTGGGAGTGCAGACTGGTGCAGCCACTGTGGAAAGCAGTGTGGAGCTACCTCAAAAATTAAAACTGGAACTGCCGTATGACCAAGCAATTCCACTTCTGGGACTATATCCAAAGAAACCTGAAACACTAATTTAAAAGAATGCATGCACCCCTATGTTCACTGCAGCATTATTTACAATAGCCAAGATTTGGAAGCAGCCCAAGTGCCCACCAGTAGATGAGTAGATAAAAAAGCTGTGGGACATTTGCACAATGGAATACTACTTGGCTGTAAAAAAAAAAAAAAAAAGAGAAGGGAATCTTACGCTTTGCAACAGCAATGGATGGACCTGGAGAGAGTAATGCTAAGTGAAATAAGCCAGGCAGAGAAAGACAAGTACCATATGAATTCACTCTATGTGGAATCTAGTGAACAAAATAAACTAACAAACAAAATAGAAACAGACTGATAGACAACAGGCTGACAGCTGGGGGGTGGGGGTGGAAGGTTGGAGAGCTGAGCAAAAAAGGAGAAGGGATTAAGGAAAAAAACAACTACTCCTAGACAAAGACAACAGCAGGGTGATTACCAGAGGGACAGGGGGAGGGGGGAAGTAGAAGAGGGTCACCCCCATGAAATCAATTAAAAAAGAAAACAAAATTAAAAATTACCCTTCTATAGATTTTAGTAGTAACTTTAAGAATCTCAGCTGCATAAAATTTTAACTACTACATAATTAAAAATTTCCCTTATAATAAACTTGAAGGTTATACATAAAAAGATGTTCCTCTGAAAATTGATACCAGTTTTCATTTCAATTTTCCCCTGTATATTTTTTTCAGAAGTATAAAATATAATTTCTCTTTACTCTTTTCAAGAAGACCTGGAAAGATTGGTTTTTAAACTGAGATCATTCATGATTTCAATTTGCATACCTTCTACACAGAAAATTCATCTCTCAAAGATACCTGATGGACTTGAGACAACTACGCTGGAAAATTCTTTCTTGTAATGATTTGAGGCAAAAACCAGGGCTCACTAATTCCCAAATCAGTGTTCTTTTCATTTTATTAAATTTCAGCTTGAATGAGATTTTTAGATATCCAGGTTACAATATAAATATAAACAAGCACAAAATAAAATGCGAAAGATTTCTAGTAGATCCTATAGAAATGATGGCAATGTTTACTTTTATTTTTTTCCCTTCTATTGAGACAATATTTACTTTTAGAAGCATTGTTTTCAATGCAGCAAAATCCATTACAGAATTATTTTAATATTTTTAAAATCCCTTTGGGTTGGTTACCCTCCATTTACTCTAACAATTTGCATTAGAAAAATAAATTTAGGGGAGTCATCACTTGTTCACCAATAGTATGTGTTACAACTTACATGGATAAGTGAGCCAAGAATGAAACTTTTTTTTCCCAAACTGATTCTGCATTAAGCATTATTTTTTGTTTCACACCTTCAACGACCCTACAAAAACAAATGATTATTCTATTTTTATTATAAGGTAACCATGTACAATATATATGAGCTTAAACAAATTCAAATAGCTCTATCTTCCTATCTTTTCACATCCTGCTTATAAATCCTTATTTGAATAATCAAGTGGGAAGGAATATGGGATGGATTCACGTATGTCTCAAATCCAGCCCTTACTGGTCTTACCATTTGGACAGATCATGAAGCTACTGACCTTAGTGTCCTCATTAATGTAACGGGAGTAATACTTGCTCAGCCTTATGATGATTGTGTAAAATAATATGGGTGAAGGGAGTAATACCATGTCAAGTACACACTAGCTGCATAAGTTAACCCCCCCCACACACACAAACACACTCAGATGATGCAAATTAAGGATCTTAAAATAAGATATAGGGGGCATTTATCCACTAGACACGAAAATGTTTGAGAACTACAAAATAAAATGTACTGGGACCAATTAGAAAACTCTTTAATTAAAAGCCTACACAATGCAACATTATGCCAATTTATGGTTCAACATAATTGTCCAAACATGCCATCACTGAAAACGAATTGCCAAATATGCCATCACTTTGAAAACGATTTTTCCATTTTTTCAATGATTTCTAAGCATATACCCAGCCAATAACTAAGTTGTCAAGAAATCGGAACCCACCATGAAATGAATGTTACACCCAGGCAAACGTTGTCAAAAGCAATTGCTTTACAGAAAAAAAAAAAAAAAAGAAAGAAAAAAAAATTATTCACTGTTTAAAGGGCGTGGACTTAAACGCATCTAGTTCTTTTTAACATGGAGCGAAGCCCTCCTCTGCCCCACCCTCTGAAATGAGGTCCTCAGCCTGGGAAGGGCTGAAGGGCACCGAGCCTGCGAAGCGGGGAGCGCAGCAACTTTCCGAACGCGCCGGGCAGCGGGAAGGGAAC